AGCAAATACTATAGTTCTATCAATTTTATTTCAAGAAAGATACGTTTTTTTATGCATAATAGTCATAAAAACAAAATATCTATTTATATTATGTCACCTATATGTTCATCAAAATCGAATCTAATACTAGATAATTTTATACCAAAATGTTCACCGCAACAAACTGTATAAGCTCTGAAAGTTTCAGTGAATTTTGACATGGTCATCGAATTGAATGATTCGATCTCACAAATATTGTCATCAAAATTTAGTGAAAATTTCGATAACAAAATAGTTTTTGACCTTGTTCTCTCCAAAATCAAAGAAGGGAAGAAAACTAATTAGTACATCTTGTAGAGCAAGTTCTGCTCTATCGAACTGGTAATACTACCATTCTCCAGAATTTGGGTTTTGTTATTGGCTTTTTTCAATATTTTTTTTCGTTGACATTTTGTTTTAGTGAACATGTATATTAAAAAAAATCATAGAAACTTTTTTCAATTCATAAGGGTCCTAATGCAGTTTTTCACGAGGAATCTGAATCTGCAATTGGTTTTAAAATTTGAGCGACTAATGATGAATTATCATCGGTTTTTTGATAAGCTATCGCTTCGTTTTTTTGCATAAAAAGGCAGAGTGCATAAAAAGGCATTAATAGTATTTGACCTGTATCTATGCGAAAACATAGTCAAACCCCAACAAATTTATTACCATAATGATCAGCGCCAAAATCTCTACAAACCCTGAAAGTTTCAATCGATTTGGACGTGATCACCGGATGGTCCTGGCGAGACCCCATGGATACACCCATTAAATAAAAAAAAAGAATGACATACAAGAGAGAATAGAATAAGAATAGTTCGCATATAGCTGAGTGGCTAAAGAGCGTGGATGACGCGACGCTGGTTCGAATCGAGTGCGAATCGATTTTTTTTCTGTTCTGTACGTTGTTTTTCCATTGAATTTTGTCAAAATTGTTTTGACTTACGGTCAGAGATACCCTCTCGAGATCTCAACGGCGACAGTGGTAACTGACAACGCTGAATCCGAATATACTATTTTTATTTTGCGAGAACGTACCCTTCAAAACCGCTCCGGGGTGATATGATTTGACAACATCGTCAAAATAAGATGTGACAGTTTCATCAGGTGGTTGTTTGCGTTGTTTTAATTTATCAAAGTGTTGATGAGCTAAGGTTGTCGGAAAATAACGATTTCGAAAAGCCGTTTCGAAATCTGACCATCTTTGAAAGATAGATTCATTATTGTCGAACCATATTCCAGCAGATTGAGTTAATTTACCACGAACAATTTCGAGAATTTCGGGATTATCGGATTCATCATTAGCTTTTGTTATATTTTTAATGCTTTTTAAAAAACGTTCGACATCCTCCGAGAGATGCCCGGAAAAATTGGGCAAATCATCAAATCGAGCTTTACGAGCTTTGGCTAACAGGGTTTGATCAGTCATGGCGGTAGTAGAAGAGATTGATTGAGAAGCGTTAATAGTAACGGATTGAGCAGCGTCAACAATAGTTGATGGTGAAACGTTACGGGATGACGATGTGTTGATGATGGTAGGAGGCAGTAATGGTGTATTATTTTTCCGAACTTGAGATCCGGTACCGGAAGCCGTTTTGAAAATTTGGTGCTTTCAATTAAATATAATGTTGTAGTCCAAGGTATATAATGCAATAAGATCAAAATTAGTCGAGTCTCTTACACTGAGGCTCTCGGTAACGACAAATAATGAATGAATATAATGGAGTGTAAGTAATGATGTAATTAATACATAGCTGATGGTGTTTGCCAGGGTCGCCAAATTGTTAGGGGTTCCTTCCCCTACTCAAACTTTATTATTCTATTCTTTAAAAAAAAAACAAAAAACAAACAAAGGAGAAAAATTCTCCATTCTAATCGCAGAAGACGTGCACATATCTCTTAAGATAACCGAATCAGAATATGTGAAGACGAATTAAAGAAACAAAAATGAAAATGAAATAGAAGGGCATGTACGAGTGCGACATCACTGTAACAGTGCTATAATGAAAAAACACTGATTTCTCAATATACACAACATCTTTAATCACCTACGATCTTTTGCATAATTTCTCCTTTTGAGAATTTTTTAGAAGCCTTAAAAACATTTTACGTTATGGCAGTGAGGCCGAATCCTTTATATTTACATTTCATTCACTAGAGACTTTGCTCAAGAGCAACTTCTATTTTGACTGTCAGTATAAGAGAAACTTAGCTAGAGGTTGATCATTTAAGCGTGCTTTTAATTTTTGTTCGAAATTTTATTTAACAAAAGGCTTTGCAACGTCTATTTTATCGTGGAATTCGATACTCTTGTTGCATATGATTACAAGTAACGCTCGTATGTGCGACTCGCTTGACTCTCGACAGCATATTCGGCCCTTTCTATTTTTTCTTCAAATCGACAGTCTTCAATATAGCTAGTATCCTATGTTCCAAAAGGATGGGTAGGTATGTGTACGCTGACATTGACGTCAATCTCATTGTGCATAATTGTATGCTGGCCCGGATGAGCATTTTGTTACGAATGCATCCAATGAAATTGATACCCTCACATTGACACTCTGCAATAAATCTAAGCAACCACACTATGACGAGGATATCCATATGCACACAAAAAAAGAAGCTTATATTCGGTTTTCTGAGAGGTAATAAAGCAAAGCTCATTCGCGATACTTTCGTGAAAACGCGCCATACTCCTTAAAATTTTTATTATAAGTTCGTTTGCTTACTGACACATCTGCCGACAATATTGTTTACTAGAGTGTTCGCTAGAAAAATAAGACTTATTTGAACTTCTAGCTTACAATTAATCATATTAGGCCTGGTCTATAATCGAACTGCCACACTTGGAAGAAGCTCCTACTCATATTAGCCATCAGACTAGATAGGTAATTTCAATATATCCATATACATTTCGACATTTGAATCAGTATCAACAAGAAAGCATCCCACCTAGGAAACCCCCGTTTATTTCATTCAAATAGCATTCCGATAGAACGAATATAAGTTCTATAAATTATGTTTTCCCTCAAATCTACTATTCAAATATCGCAGACGTGCAGAAAAGACGTTCTCACACTTCATTTCAGAATATTTCTCAGTTCTGAGCAACTGCTACTCCTTATTCAAGCTCGTATGTTCTAGACTTTTGAAGTTTATTTGATGAATGCCAGCAACTTGAAGCATTTCTTTAAGATACTTTCGAGTGTAGCGGCTAGCCGTTCGTCGGCGCCCCAAAGGGGTGCCTCTCACCACTAGCCGCTGCTATGTTTCGTTCTATTTCTCCACACCACCATCCTTCTTTATTTACACTTCATCTACTCACAAACTCTGCTTAATTCGAAAAACCATCAGATCTATAGCATGAGAATTCTCGTCAGGGATTTCTAAACCAAAGCTTCGCTGTGTACTATTTCTGATTTCTTGAATTTCATCCTGGAGCTGAAAAATCAGAGTCTTATCGAAATCCCTCATTAAGAAAACATTAGTGCAGTTTTCTCAAAAATGTCTGTTTGTAGATTAAAAAAATTTTCGAAACAAAAATATTTTTTGCACTGTCACAAAAAATAAGAAAGTTCGTTTCTGATTGGTCGGTTTTCGACCAATGAACCCTCATCCAAAAAAATGGGCTTCAGATTAGGATTCAGGGCCGTCGATAACCTATAGCAAAGTTCACTCAAAACTTTATTAATAATGAGAAAAATAAAACAGAAAACTTGGAGAGAAAATTCAAATTATTTATACTCTTAGAATCTTAGAACCATCAGTGGAAGTTAAAATATAAAGGTTTATTGAAATGAATAATCCAGCACTAACATTTATTATTGAGTATACAGAGAAGAGAAGATAAAAGGAAAAGAAGATGAAAGAGAAGAAGTAGGTAGAGACGTGATTGCTGAACAATCGAAAAACAATCGAAAAGAGGAAAAGAAATGAATAATTCTGTGTTGGCCGCCATATAGCTGAAATAGTGGCCAACAAGCGAATTGTGAATATGGCTCATTATGTATGGCTCTCAAATTTTTACTAATAATAGGAAACTAAAAGTTGTATCTCTCCTGAAAATTTCAGCTATTCATATCGTTTCATTTGCTCACGGTAGCCCCATGAAAAACAGAATTTTGATAAATGTGGGAACTTTCTAGATAGGCTTTCTCCCAAGATATGGATTATGTGGGGCGTTAGTTATTAGAACTTGGAAGCACTCTCTTTGGGCTGCAGTTCTGTAAAAAATTAGCGTGGGATCTCCAAGAACGGCTTCAGGGCACTTATTGCAAAATATGAAAAAATGAGCCTTTTTCTATGGGAAATCTACTCAAGTGCAATTCGAAATTCCTCCAAGGAATTAAGTATGTGGTATAAAATTTATGTAGTAAAAATCAGCATTTAATTTTCCATAGCCCTATATCAAAATATCCTTTCAAAATGAAAAAGAAATTTTTACGAAAAATCCCCCTACCGACCTCCAGGGCTTTCTTTAACATTTTATTCTCACAGCCTCTGTACCCTTCGAGGACGATTTTTCGTAAAATTTTTTTTTCATTTTCAAAGGATATTCCGACACAAACTAATAGAGAATCAGATGCTGATTTTTACCATATAAAATTTATCTCACTTAGTAGAATCCTTGGAGGAATTTCGAAGTCCACTTGGGTAAATTTCCTATAAGAAAGGCTCATTTTTAGTGTACTCAAAAAGTGAGTACACTACTAAAATCGGTCTGTGTGTCGGGCCGTCCGTCCGGCCGGCAGTTAACACGATAACTTTCGAAAAGAGAGTCAGGTTGCGATGAAATTTTCTATACAGTTCAGTCTTAACAATGTTTCGGTCGAGTTCGAAGATGAGAAGGATCCGCCAAGAAATGGCTGAGTTATCGAAAAAATTGTGATTTTTGACCAGACCATCCCTGAGGTGGGGTACAGGGATTTTTTCAAAAAAAAAATTTTTTCTCTGAATTATTCACAACATATATAAATCGACTCAGTTTTTAACGCTGATTCTGAATCTGATATTATTTTTGAACCGAATCATAGTTTTGTGTACTCAAAAAGTGAGTAGACTATAGAATAGTCAGTGTGTCCAAACGTCCGATTGGCTGTTTACATAAGAACTTTTGACAGCAAAGTTAGATTGTGATGAAACTTTCTACAAAGCTCAGTCTTGACAATACCTCAGTCAAGTTCGAAGATGAAAAAGACCGGTCGAGCCGTTCCTGAGTTATTGCAAAAATACCAATCTTTCCCTATAGCTTTCTGTGGAAAAATGAACCCATCACGACTTTCATGAAAGACTTTTCCTATCATAGTCAATTAAAAGCCCAACTATTATATACCATTCGATAGAAAATTTCAGGCACTACAAAATGATATATAAAACATAAAGAACCAAGAACATTGACTAACCTATCACAAAGATAATTAAAGATAACTAGGTTATATTTTGGTCCACAATCTAATTGATCCACAAATAGATCTTTATCTTCCGAGTACACTGATGATACTTTGAGGTTTTCAGGTATGGAGAACTCAAATGTGTACTTTACTTCCATCGAAATACTATTAGTTGTGCAGTGACCAATAGAAATGAAGTTAAGGAAAAACGACTTTCTTAGAGTAAATCAAGGTGCAGAGTTCAAACCTGAGCTTAGTTCGGTCCCATATCCTATTGGTTTGGCAACGCGCAATATAAATCAAGATTTTAAAAGGTAGATTTCCCAGATTAATTTTGATATGTTTCGACAGTCTAGGATGGTTGATTTGAATGATTCACTTTTTGAAGTACATATAACTCTCGGATTTAAATCCGAAGTTTCCGCATTTTTTTTTGTATTTTGCAATGAGTGCCCTGGAGTCGTTCTTGGAGATACCACGCTAATTTTTTTACAGAATTCTAGCCCAAAGAGAGTACTTCCAAGTTCTAATAACCAGCGCCACAGAAAATCCATATCTTGAGACAAAGCGTATCCTGAAAGTCCCCACATTTATCAAAATTACGTTTTTTCATGGGACTGCCCTGAGCATACGGAACAGTATGGATAGCTGACATTTTCAGGAGAGATACATCTTTCAGTGTCCTATTAACAGTGAAAATTTGAGAACTGTGTATTATTCCTATCAAAAGTTATGAAGTGCCAATGTTACCATGTCAAGCGATATTTTTATAAAAAATGTTTTTTTTTGACCTCAATCAAGCAATCAAGCAAACAAAGGCATTTTATTTCGTATGACCCTCCATAAAGTTGAGGGAGTAAGACTCAGTAAAAAAGCAAACTCACCCTGGTACACACATAAACCAAATCCTATCAGCAGAACTTCATCACAAGATATTACTGATATATTACACTTTGTCCGCTGTGTTGTGGTGAGTAACTTATTAGGATAATCAAAAAAGTAAAATAAGGCCATGAAAAATGCACCCTTAATGCCTGTA